CGGCGAATCATGCAGGGATCCTGCTGCTGCCCCATGCTGTATGTAAACCCGAATATCATATCTTACGCCGTGGAGCTACCGTATTTAAGGCCCCCCACCGTCCCGTTTCCACCAATAGTAGATGTATGTAGTATTTTAAAAATGACGTACTCTCTCCGTCACATAAAGAATGTCACAGTTTATTATTTAAAAATTATAAAAACCTTATTTATTTCTATATATTTATTGATTATCTATAAAATAAAATATTTTATCACTTCTTGCATGTTTTGAAAAATTTTTGACATAGTTTTTAAATATATTGATTTTATTTTTTGTTTCCATCCCAATCTTTTTTAAAGGGTTTTGCATACATACAATTGATATAAAATTATTTGGAAAAAAACCTGATATTTAATCTCATTTTACTTAATGTGACAAATATTTTTAATTTGGACGTAGAGAGCATGTTATGGAGGATTTATCTGGTTGTGCTTTTAAGAGAAATTAAAACTTGATTTTATATATGCCAAGTATAAGATAAGTTAAAAGTTAATTTGGAAACCATATTGAATGTCACATGTAAATTAGGAGGTCAATTGGAAGGCCATGTGTGCACTCACCCGCCAAATTCTTAAAATTTCGGCAAGAAGTCCTGGTGGTTATATTTTCTAAAGATGAGATACACTATATTGTTACAAGTTGAAGATATGTATCTTTTTGTTACAAAGTTCAAAATCATGGTATTTTTTATTACAAAATTTAATGTTAGGGTACCTTCCAAGCAAAAAAGTCGAAAATCTATAATGTGTGGATTCTTGCCTCCAAATCAAAAGTTAAAAAGAACAGTAATCAAAATATAATTATATGGTCGATTGAATCAAATTGAGTGGCCATTAGAGCACTGGTAATACGTATGAAGCCCCGTGGCTTCAAATTAGAGTTTGAAAACTTCTCTTTCTGCCACGTCCACTTTAAGTTACCTCACAGTTTCACTGAAAATGGGTTCCTCGAGGCTTCAAACTGGGGCTTCAAACCTTTATTTTTAATTTTTTAATACACATTTTATAAAATTAAACTAAATAAAATTTATTTTAATTAAATTTGAATGACAATAATTCATTAAATTAAAAAATTACATTCAATTAAAAAAGAATATTTAATAAAAAAATAAACTCATAAAAAATTAAGTCAAATTATATTTAACCTTGATCTTTTTTTGTCATCTCTCATAAAGCTTATTAAAGCATACGCCTTGATATCTTTTTGGTTTAGCGGCTAAAAGAGCCGTTAGGGAGAGGGGAGGCAACACACTTCGGTGCGTTAAACTTTTGACGCAAGGTAAGTGACACCTAGATAACACATAAGAGGGGCGGTGTTTTCAGCGACCCAAACCCTAACGTTAAACGCTGGATGACACCTCCCGGCATTAAAGGCATTACCGGTGCTCTTATTAACTACCAGATCCTAAATTCTATCATCGAGAAAAAAAACAAAAAGGAAATGGAAAAAGTATACTAGGAGTAACGTAACGTACAACCTCAGCATTTCAGTTTACAGAAAGAAAAGTGACATCAGCAGAGGAGTACGAATCTGTTGTGCCCAGTCTGCACTATCAGTTCTCTCTCTCTCTCTTATCTCTCTCCTCAAACAACGTACTACCACTTCTGCACAACGTACAGTGCAGAGCATCTAATAACTGTGCGCGCCTCTCTACTTGAATTTCTTCTTCTCTAGCTACTAGCTTCAAAGACTGTGCCCGCTTTTCATGGGGGATCATTTGGGGCCTTCCCCGTCCTTATTAGGAGTACTTCTTTCCCCCTACCATTTTTTTCTGTTTTGATTTGTCACAAATTTTAAGAGAAAATTAAAAATATATATATAAAGATTTTTCATTTTTTTTATCTTGATGTGATAGAATAAAATGAAGTGAATAATGTAGATAAAAAATGCAATACAAATGTTACATTCATTAGAAAAATTTTGTGAAAATAAAAAATATGAAAGAAATTTGTCGACGATCCAAAAAGTGTAATAACCAATTAGATATTACGAAGTACTCCCTCCGTCCTAAAACTTTCTTCTCGGTTCGCAAAATGAAGAAAAATCCCAACTTTTTTAAATCTATTTTATTTAAATATTGGTATAGCAATAAAAAATAAAAGATACATATTTAAAAACTACATCAAAAGTTCAACAAAACAAGTGGTGACAAGAATATTTTATTTTATCATATAGGCCATTAAAATATACAAATAAATATAAATTCCCGTGAAGTTGGAATAGTGCACTGGGAAGAAAGTTTTAGGACGGAGGGAGTATATCTTTCTTTATACTCTATCCGTCTATTAATTTCGTTTCCATTTTCTTTTTAGGCTGCCTAAAAAAAATCTTTCACATTTCTTATTTTATACCCATATTTTTTTCTGCATTATTCATTATATTTTATCACATCAAGGGCAACATGTGCAAAGTTTTTAGACTTTTTAACTTTTCTTGGTATCCGTGTCAAGTCAAACAGGAAAGAAATTTTTGGACGGAAAGTACAAAGTAAAAATTTTTAAGAAAAAATAAATGTGTAATAGCTGGTGGGTTTTATGGGGCTCCAAACACTACACCTCTCTTAAGCCATGAATCCCTAGTTGAGGTGGCCGTTACATGGTAGATAACGTTTCTTTTCGGGAAAAAAATAGATGAGTGTCATTCTCGAGAGTACCCTCAGACCCGGCCGACAACACTTCTTTTAACACTCTCTACATGGTCTTAGAGACTTAGACTGAGTTTGAAAATCATTGAATCAACTACAGAGTATCGAGTAGTATTAAAGAAAAAAAATAGGTTTTTGAGATAATAAAAAAAATGTAGGAGTGGAATTTACAGTTGGGATGGAGTATATGGATCTCAGCCCCTAAAAACTGGCCCCTTTCTAGCGATTGGGTTTGCTCGTAGGGTTTGGATTTCAATAGTGTAATTTGTCTCTTCTCTTTTGTGGGGGCATTGTATAGTCCCTAGTAGGATTCGTAGAATGTTTTTGTTTTTCACTTATTTATATTTCTCCCTAAAAAATATTTATGTAAATAAGATTAAAATATATACTACCTCCCTTCTACATTCAATGCTATTGTTTGCAAAACGCATAAAAATACAGAGCTAGTATCACATTTTTTTTCCAATTCGTTTTGTTTAAAAATAGGCATTGAAATAAAATGTAAAACTTATACATTTACAAACTATAAAAAAATTACAATAAATTTACGCAAATGGGACTTAAACATATCATCTTTTCGTAAACAGAATCAATCATATACACTCTAACGTTTAGTAATGGAAATTTCTAAAATATCATCCTTTTGAGAAAAATGACATATTACACAATTCAAGTACAATAAGAGATTATTAAAAATAATTTGAATTGTCATTGAAATGATCTGGCATTATCTAATACTTGTACGTTGCTAATGACCACACTCGTAGAATCATTCGTATAATTCGTAATTATCCTACACTTGTTGCTAATTCGGGCATATATAGTAGAACATATGGTATTATGTGTTATAAAGGAAAAATAAAAGATAATGATAGAATTTAGGATTGGGTAGAGATAATTGGATTGGCGCAATAAGACACTTGGGTTGAATCACATTAAAAGATTGAATCCAATCGATTAATTAGTTCAACTCAAGAGCTTATATACCGATTAGTTTCCTCACACTTTTCCGATGTGGGATACTCTTAACACTCCTCCTCAAGTGGACGACCGGGTCATTTTGAATCTAACCGGTTGACCACTTGCAAATAGACTCCCATTCCCTTGATATATTTTTTTGAACGCCAACATCTAAAGGACCACGAGCTGCTGGGTATGGACTTCTAGACGAGCAATCGTGTTAAACGGGTCACAGACCGTTGGGTACATACTCCATACGGACAACTGGGCTAAAGACTAACGGGCCGCTAGGAATGACCGTCTAGATGGACGGACACCTTAACAAACGAGGTGGGCCAAAACCTGCTCTGATACCATGATAGAATTTAGGATTGGGTAGAGATAACTGGATTGAGGCAATAATACACTTGGATTGAACCACAATAAAAGATTGAATCCAATTGATTAGTTAGTTCAACTCAAGAGCTTATATACCGATTAATTTCCTCACACTTTTCCGATGTGGGATACTCTTAACAGATAAGGAAACAATATTTTATTGTATGACAAAGAAATGAATAATACACATAAAAAACACATGTGAAAAATACAAAAACACACACCGTATGTCACACTTCATCGTCCAAATTCATTTTTTTCGTACATTATTCATACGGTCAAATTTTATTTATTTCTTTATTATATTACTTTCACTACTCATTTCATAACATGATTAATTTATCTAAATAGGAATAAAACATAATGACTTTCTCAATATAAGACCATATGTTTTTATTTTCTCAATGTAGGACTTTTGGTCATTATCAAGTAGTCATTATTCAAGTAAATGTCCATCATTACTGGACATTATTCCTCCCACAAGGTCATTATTAAGTCCTATTTAAGGAATAAAAAAGTTTAAGTCCTACATTAGGAAAGTCATTATGTTTTAGTCATATTTAGTGCAAATTTCACTTCATGACATTCCGTATTTATAATATACTCCGGTAATGATTTTATGTTTGAATTTTATACTTACAAACAATTAATTAGTTAATTTGATGAAAATAAATTCTATCAAGTCCTGTTTATACATAGGGTTTAATTTTTATAGAGTTAATTCTTAAAAATAACTGAGTATTTTAAATACAAACCAAATTAAAGGGTTTATTTATTACTTTTAGAGTTAATTTAATTTTTTAATGCGCATTAATTAACTACTCGTATTTTAAAAAAAATTACAAATTTAATTTTTTTAATTTTGGAGTTTCACATACGAAGTATATTTTAATATATACTCCGTATAAATAGTCCTTGTAAATATGTTCTATCAAGCATCATAAACTAAAAAAGAAAAACATTACGGAGTATGTAATAACTAAGGTAGAGCTTATTTTTTTTAATGGTGCGGTAGAGCTTAATTAATTACATGCACTAATAATAAGACCAGAAACGCCAGAAAAAGAACACAGCGTCATCATTTGCATGTCCTATTTAGGGAACAAAATAAGACAAAAAAAGAAGCTAAAAGAAAAAGCTCTTAATAGATTTCCCATTAATAATGACTAAATGAGTAGTTAGAATTATTAATTAGATTAAACTATTTTAGGTTTTTTTTTCTTTTTCTAAAACTAAAAAAGCTTAAGATCAAGCTCCAAGGACGTCTGATGATCCCCACCGTCGGATTCAAGCTTATACATGGCGTCATTAAGGGCAGATGATGAGCTAAACAGGTGCGCCGCTGACGTCACCACCGCACACTTCTTCTTCCCGAAACATCCGTCTCCGCCTCCGTCGTCGCCGGAGCTCGGAGCCTTCCTCTTCCTCCTCCGGCGGGTCTCCGACGAAGAGGACCCGTAAGAGGAGGAGGAAAACGGCGGAGGAGTCGCCGGGAACACCGGCGGCATCTCGAAGTTGGTCCGGGCTTTCGACCCCCTCAGCCACCTGGCCGCCACGTCGTAAGCCCGGGCCGCCTCCTCCGCGGTGTCAAACGTCCCGAGCCAGTGGCGGCACCGCCCGATCCGGTCGCGTATCTCCGCCGACCACCGCCCCCACGGCCGCTGCCTCACTCCCCGGTAGCTCCTCTGCTGCACTCCTCCCACCCGCCCGCCCTCCTTCTCCGCCCCCTCCGAACCGCGGGTTCCGAAGAGGACCCGCTCGCCGACCACGGCGGCGATTCCTTCGAGAAGAAGGGGGGATTTCATCTCGGAGGGTACATGGAAATAATCAACGGTGGGGTTTCGAGGCGGCGGGGGCGGTTGGAATGCAGGCCCGCCGGAGGAGGGAAAAGGCGGGAGTGGGTTCGTGAGGAAGTGTTGGAAATGAGGAGAAAAGTTCATTTTCTTGCTTTTTTTTGTGATAAAGAGAGAGAGAGAGCAGAGAGAGAAATACTCGCAGAAAGTGACGAGGAACTCGGGAGTTTGAACATGCAATTTATAAGTACCACGACGACGACCCTTGTTTTTGGTATGGGTCATTCTTTGCCACATACGGTGGATTCAGGGGCTATTTGGCAACTTCTGAATCGGTAAGTGCTGAACTAGTAAGAGGTCTGAACCATTAAGTGCTGAACCAGTAAGAAGTCTGAATCATTAAGAGCTAGTATATTGCTTAACTATTCAGAGACAAATGTCTGATCAATTCAGATAAGAGGTCTTAACCATTCAGACTCTGTTTAATACTTAACCATTCAGAGGCAAATCTCTTAACCATTCAGACATCTAAACCATTAAGAGGCTGAAACAAACAGTCTAAACCATTAAGTGCTGAATCATTCAGACATCGGAACCATTAAGAGGCTGAAACAAACAACCCCTCAGTCTTTGTCATCCCTTTTCAAACAAAATTTAATGAATTTTGCTAGGGCTCCATAAAAAAGTAATCAACATTTTAAAGATTCATACTAATATAAAATATTTGTTCAAACAAAAAAAGTTGTACTTATCTGATATTTTTTGTCAATATAAGTCATTCTAGTATTGCACTAACATAAAATATTAATATATGTCTTTGGAGTACAAAGTAGGTATACTTTTTTAGTACAAATAGCTCAATTCTTTTTTGAATGACAAAGACTGAATCCCCAAAGAGATTGATTCAGACTTCATCACAGAAAAGAAAAAGATTGTAGAACATACTCCCTCCGTCCCAGAGTATTTGTCCACTTTCATTTTTACACATCATTCAATGCACTTCTTTAATCCATTTTATCTTGTAATTTGTATATTAAAAAATTATAGAAATTATATATTAATAATCTATATGTTAAGACAAATCAAACAAGATCACACATGACTCTATTTAGGCTTACACATTGAGAGAATTTGATGAGTCAAAGTGTTTAGATGAACAGTTTCAAAAGTCAAAAGTGGACAAAGAGAGTGAGACGGAGGTAGTATATTGTTATACCCTCTTCGTCTCACAAAACATTTTTCTAATCTTTTTTCATCCGTCTCAAAAAGATCCTTCTTATTTTTATTTAAAAGCCACTTTACTATATATTTCTTATATAGTCTACTTATTACATCTACTTTTTCACTTTTAATCCACACGTACACTATTATTTTTACCAATCACATTCAAGCACATTTTGGAAGGTCGGCCCTGATATACACTCACTTTAAATTTTTTAAAAGTCAAAATCAGAAAAATATTGTGGGACGACAAAAATATTTCATTAGAAATCTCGGTAGCGATAGTTTGGGAACTCTATTCCTTGCAATAGCTTCTTGTATGCACCGACACAAGGTAATCTTTCTAAAGATCGACTGGATTAAAAATATACCATAATTTACTTCCTTCACAATCTTGTCGGAGCGGAATGTAGGGATATCCGAGGTGGGTGTTCCATTTTTTTTTGGAGGTAAATAATTGGGAAAGGATAAATAAAAACCCACGTTGGTGAATGGTGAAAAGTAATGGCAGTGGGCCCAGAGCTAGATTTTGTGGAGAAAGGGTTAAGATATCATTGTCAAATTGGAGGTGACTACAATCGGTCAACTGTTTGTTTAATTACGAGTGTCGCTTATTACTCGGAGTACATACCGAGTCTTCTTCGTCCTTTGTTTCCTCCTCATGCATTGCAGATTTGCAGAGGAAGATAGATATATATACATATATATATGCCTCTTGGAATTCACGACAAGCACCCATTATTTGTATATGGAAAAAATCATTATTCCTCCCATATTGGTTTTACTATTTTTATCCTACGGAGGAATACATTATTTTTATTGAAAGTATTAAAAAAAAACAATTAAGTATAACATCTTTAAAGGGTTAGAAAAATATTACTCCCTCTGTTTTATAAAAGAGGAATTTTTGCAAATAGTTCTAAAACATTATAATTTTCCCTTGTTAGCATCACATGTGTTTTTTCTCCAATGTAGCACTTTTAATCATTATCCATTAGTCATTATTCAAGTAAATATTCGCTACCACTGAATATTATTGACACTATGAACTGTTATCTAAGGAATAAAACAATATAAGTGCTATTTAGGGAAATGACTTAAGTTTTAGTGCTATTTAGTGCAAATATTTCTTTATAAAATGGTTCTTATTTTGATTTTCAGGATAAATAAAGAGTGTATATTTATAGATGACTTTTAAATTTTAATTTGCCCTTAATGAGATGGGTAAAGATGTGATGGATATATAGATTATTAGTCAAAAAAGTATGATGTGATAGGTAGGGTAAAAAAGTAAAAATAAAAGTGATTTTTTAAATAAAAAAAGAAGAAGTTTGTGGCCGTTCGTTGACTATATGTTGAGGTGTTAGAATCATTGTCGTTTTCCTCCTCAATCTTAAGGTTTGTATCCCAGACTCTTTCCAACATTTGAATCCTTAGAATTACTTACAATACATGGTCATATATACATATGTCATTTATGTGTTAATCTCGCTGATAGTCTCGATAATACGCTCAACTTGACGTTTATGAACCGTTGACACGAGAGAACACTTAGAAACATGCCATACCGACCCTATAATGATCATAAGTAACATAAAGATTCAAAGTAGAGTATATATAATCAATAGTGACACTTTAAGAGCCATTCCATAGCTCAAAATGAACCCAAATACATGTAAAAACAGTCAGACAATTTATCACCGAAGGGGGTGATTGATCGCCGCCCGAAGTTGAAACATAAAAACTAGACAAAGTCAGGGGTGGTGATCGATTACCAAGCATGTGCAGTGATCGATCACCTAGGAGTTGTTCATCACCAAACTAAATTTTTTCACTTTGATGGATCGATCATCCGACGTTTCCAACTCAAATTTAAGTTGTTTTTTGATGTTATATGAACCATAAACCATGGATATTTGTTTGAATGATTTATATCCATGTTTAAATCTCTGAGTACACCAAATATATGAAGATTACAGACTAGAAGAACTCTAGTATGATTAAAAAATATTGTGAGTATATATGTGGGCGATTAATTAGGCATTGAGTATGTATGTACATGAGGTTTGCGAACCAGTCAGGCACCTAAGAATCACTCTACCCGTGTGTCCAGGATCAGAAAAGTATTTATACCAAGTCTGAGGAAGATCACAAACTGAATTCTAAACCTGAAGAGAAGGGCGCTCGGATCCAAACTCACACAAGAAAACTGAAGGCTTATTGACTTGTTCTCTACAAAAAATTACTCTATGTCAGGGGCGGATCTACTTGGAAGCAATTGGAGGCCAATGCCCCCAACTAAATTTTGGTGTTAAACTAATAATTTTTTTTAAAACAAAAAATTATTATACTTTGGGCTTCGTGCCCCCATCTAAAATTGGGATTAACCCTATCTCAAATTATTTACTCCCTACAAAAATGAATCGAATCTTATTTAATTAAGCTAATTTTTAATTTTTTTGTTTACTCTTATTGAAGTAAAGTCTATTTTATTGCATTTAATTTATTCTTTAAAATAAAATTTTACATTACTGATTAAATAAAATTTTACATTCAATAAATGTTTAAAATAAAATTTATTATTTTTTTCATTTCAAATTGTCTTTCTTTTAGAAAAATCAGGGGCGCAAGCCCCGACCAATTGTTCCCCCATCTACCTGAATTTCTGGATCTGTCACTGCTCTGTGTGAAGGCGAGGATAATTTGGCAATTTTAGAAACAATCATAATTGTGAAATATGGATGATGTAGAACCATGCATCAATAATTTTAAGTAATTAATGTACTTCCTCCGTCACTGAAACAGTTTCTCTTATTAACTTTTAAAAAAATTAAGGGAGAAATATTTTTATGTTAACTTTCCAAAAATACCCTTAATGTGATGGATAAAAATAAGATGTGATGGGTGGATTATTCGTAAAAAGGTATGATGTGATATGTAGGGTACATCTTACGAAAAAATAAGAAGTAAAAGTAGTTTTTTAATAGATAAGAGAACATCTTTTGGGGATAACAAAAAAATGAAAGGAGAAGATCTTTTAGGAACGGAAGAAGTATAATGTGACTGACCACGAGTACAAAAAATAGTAATTTGCGATTTAAGTACTATGTATTTCTCAGTGATGTTACCGTTAATGAAATGAATTAAACATTTTATTTTAAAAAAATTTATTGGGAAAGAAATTACACAAAAATGTGCTATTATGTTTTACATAGGCAGCTCAATTTAGCATAATTTCTTCCACTCATGAATTGAAAACTTTCACTTAAGCCAAATTTGGTTTCTAGCCACCAAATTGCTTTACAATCACTGATGGTCCGCTTTTGTTTATGACAAGAAACCAAGTGGTGAAGAAAGACGATGTGGGAAAGGAAGCCCAATTGCCCATTTAATGAGAATTAGAGAGATGAAGAAAGTTCAACAGAACAAGTATATATAAAACTTAAAAATAAAACTGGTATATACTGATATATATAAAACTTAAAAATAAAAGTTACATACTTTAAAACTATGTCAAAAGTTCAACAGAACAAGTAGTAATAATTTTTTTTTATTTTATCATATATGCCATGAAAAATACAAATAAATAAAAGTTGTCTTGAAGTTGAAGTAATGCATTGCGAAGAAAGATATGAGACGAAGAGAGTAAAAATTTAACACCGTTGAGGAATAGACGATAGTGAGTGATAATCTGTGAACCATATTCGGTGAACAGAGTTCATATTGTGTGTGAGATCACACCACACTTTTCATATTTGAGCGTGGTGATCTTTGAAGTTTGATTACAAACAGTACGTACTCCTTTAATTTTGTGAAGCATTTGTTCATATATAATTACATCGAGAAGTCGAGAGTTGTGTTGATCTGGAACCAGGTTGATAACACG